TCATCATCCCAACATGACCAGTAGGTAGAGATGACGGAGATAAGAACTCCATTGGGAATATTTGTTTTCATACAATTCCAATCAATACACAACTTCGTAGAGATATATACAGACAAGCTCTATTATCACAACGCACGATCAATAACAATAAACAAACCGCGAATGACGTTACGTAAACAAAATTTCTACAGTACTGGCACGTGGTGGTACCTGTGGCATAAAACTCATGGTGGACAAAACCTTAGCGAGTGACTCGTCATGATAGTAGCAGAGAGCTCCATACGCAGTTTTTTTACGTCTGCTTCATAATAAGATTTCGAGAATGGAATTAATTCTTTGGAGTCTTCACAAATGTTGTGGGTATCATGAATGTGGGTTTTTTTTTAAATCTTAAGGTAGATAGATAATAGAAGGGCACTGCACAAAAGTTACCTCAGCTTTCCTCTTTGAGCGCTTTTTCCGAGATGACTAAGATTCGTCGTGAAAAGGATAAAAAAGAAAAGGATAGTCTTTTCAGTCATCACTGTAGAACTCTTAACAAAGAGCCTTCGATTGCAACTTATCTAAGCCATTGTGATCAAACAGCTTGGGCTAGTTTCGAAGTAAAAAAATCACCAGAAGAAAAAGGTCCCCGCACTGTATTTAGGTTTTTGTAACAGTGCTACAATTTTGAAGTAGCTGCTGTACTTTACGTAAAGACAAGTGCAGAAGTAAACATGAAACCTGTTCTCTGTACCTGGTATCACGTGCAGTTTAGCCCATGGCAAATCATGACTGTAGTGCAATTAATATTACTATTTTGAGCTGATACATTACACAATTGCAATCAAACGTTCGCGGTATAGAGGACTATGCGAAAATGTATGTTCCAGATGTTTGCGATCCCCTCAACAAAATAGTGATCGATCAACCATGCTTCGTTTTAAAACATGAGCTATGTCTCGAAAGTATCAAATTCGAGCTCGAAAGTCAATATATATCGCATTTGATCTGTGAAGGGAGCTAAGCACTACAAGGCTCAAGTTACATCCCACACCTTTGTCGGTTAAGAACGAATGAGATAAATAAGTGAATAAACATCTGTCACAACAAAAAATATGAGTGACGGTCACAACAAAAAATATAAGTGGTTCATGACAGATAACGGGGAACGGAGACGAGCCTACTCATCTCGCTGCGGTTCCTGCATCAAATCGGCGCCCATCATTACCAGCTGGAAACGGGCCCGCCTCAACTCAATACTGTGCAACTCCCTGGCTCTCTTCTCTTGATTAGCCAGATATTGAATCTCCTTTTCGAGTTTTTTCGTTCTCGAGTTCCATTTTTCTGAGCTCTAGCTGCTGTCTTCGTCGCAAAAAGTCGCAATCGTCACTGATATCACGATCGCAGACGCTATAAGGGCATTATATGAATGCGTCATGCGAATAAATGCGGTCGTACCCACCATTCAATCGAATGTATCGCGCACCTGTTTGCTTCTGCTCTTCTTGGACGTTTGGCCGAACAGTGGTGAACTGCATCAGACTTGTCAATGGCATCAGATAAGGTCTGCGCTGAACTGTAAGCAGGTGTTCCCAAATTCCGTTCAACTGATGATAAAACGGAACTAAACAGCTGTGGAAATATCGTCGAAAACTTAGGGAAGATATGATTTTGAAAACATGCACGAGAGGACAGGGTCGCTCAGGATCTTGGGGGCATCACAACAGAGGCAATGCTAGGACTAGGTCAGGAGAGGGGAGAAACTCCTGGAAGAACACATATTGCTCACGTCCTCGTCCGAATTCTTTCCCTGCCTAAAGCTTATGGTTAGTCCCAAGCACAGCAACTGGCTCACTAACTGGAATGTTTCCCTCCCGTGCCCCACCCCTCCCAGACATGAGCGAAGAGGACAGTGAGATTCATGAGCGATGAGATCTCAAAATTTGAAAAAATTAAAAAAAAAAACAGTGCGGATAATCACTACAAGCAATGAGGAACCTGAAGGAAAAGTAAGAAAATAAAGTCTCTCAAAAGAAAGAGAGGACGAACCTGTCTGAATAGGTGTCACGATGGGGCAAAGACAGACACAAGCCGTCCTCTTCCTTCTTAAGGTTAGAACATAGGGAATAAGCACCATTAGAATCATAACAATCACCAGACTGATTTGATGAAGTCTGATCAGAAGAATACCTAGCCACTTGAGAATGTGAAGAAGCGTCATAACAATTGGACATTACTTCCGTTTCTACTGAGCACTCTGTCTCTCGCTTCATTTCAGGACTCTGAAAAGTGTTACCATGATATTGCCAAACAACCAAGTTCCACTTTTTTGTCGAATAACAACGAAAATGAATATTTCGAAAAAAAAACCTGAATAATTGGCGAGCATTCAAGGACAAAATTGTGAAGTACATGAAAATATACCTTGTTGACGAGATCGAGATCATCGTAAGCGGTATCAGGCAGTGGTTGCTCAATCGAGTCCTCTCCGAAAAACCGAGAGTGAGAGTTACTAATGAATAGACAAAACGAGCCGATCCAAGTATCTGGGGGAAATGTGTTATATGAAGGAACAGGGTATCAAACCGCACCACTTCTAAGCTCACCCCAATTTTTCTGATGACTTGTGATTATTATCGCAGCGAGACAAAGCATGACGTCGAACATACTGCCAATCATAGTCGCGCAAGCGTGTCCACGTTTTCCCTTAATGAGATTGCAAAAAACTAATGAGATGATACCAGAACACTAATAGGAACGTGTCCGGAAAACAAAAAGTTTTGAAAGGCTTTCAAGGAGCTCACCGGCGTATGATCTCAGACCCAATTCTTCCATTTCCTTGGCCACTTCCTTCCATGCTTTCTCTTTAGCTTTAGTGGAATGCTAAATAACCATGTTACGACGGTAGATTGGAAATAAGTGAAAAGAAATGACAAATAAAGAATGCAATATAACAACTCACGGCCACGCCATCTCCAAAAATCACATCCTGCCTTCGTTCGATGGCTCGAACAAATGCAATTTTTTCCTGCAGCTTCACTTCCCGTATTTCCGCAGACGAGGTTGCAAAAGACACTGTTGAGTCGGCAGCATCGGGTCTTGAAGTGGTCAATAGAATTCATAACAGTGTCACTGCTAAGCAACACCTGACAGTTTCAGCAGACCTGTGAAACGAAGTCTGCTCCCTCTCCATCAGATGACGTTTCCCACACGTTGATTCTAGAACACTCCGTATAACATAACTGTAACAAAATTATTACTCTATATAAACCCAATGAAGGCGAGACATTACACTATGTCGGAACGGTACTGCTCACACCTTACACTGTGACTGAATTCCAGTCTCTTTTTCTAAACTGCAGTGGGAAAGGGCGCATTAGGCTTAGGATATAAACTGTTAAACCTGTTTTCAAGTGGTCCTCTTGAACCGTGACTGCTCACAATGTATTCATACGCACAATCACTGATGTGTCTCACTATGTAAACCAATTAGCTATAAAACAGCACTATTTACTCTTTACTGCCCCAACTCCTCAAGAACTGATCCGGATTTTGACCGAAATCCGTCCAAGACTGAGGATTTGGCGACGACGTGCGACGGATTTGGCGTTGTTTTCGGTGGTACTTCGACCAGGAGAACACGATTATCCTTTGGCGCCGGCTTCTGGCTCGAGCGCCAGGCATTCTAGCAGTAAACGAATGTGATATTCGTGTTCTACGAGTCGAATTACCTCGTGAAAGCAAGTTTCTGGCCCACAGTCATGGACCAATTTCGATAAAAATCCGGCTCAGTTCTCGAGGAGTGGGGCAGTAAAGGGTAAATAGTGCCATTGAAACAATACATGGAGAAGTACCTCAGAAAATACTGCGTAAATATCCTTTATAGAAACGAAAAAACATCAAATTGCATAGTGACTCAACCTATGACACCCTACGTACAGTGGTTGGGTATTTGCCGCGCCTGGTTACCATGATGCATCTACGAACCGGAAGAAAAGCTATGACAGGAAATGATCAATCGTCTCGCTATTGATCGTCAGAGCAGTGAATTAAACTGTTGGAACGAAAAAACTTCTCTCGTTACCACTAATGAAATTATTGGTAATGTATTAGGTTGTCTCATAAACAGTGTCGCTTTTTTTCATCCAAAAAATTTTCATCTAAACCTCCATGCTTTTACATCGTGTTGTGTACCATTCGAAAGAGAATTGTCTGCTCTACAAAATGCTATGTCCCACTTCCACATTTCTTCCAGGGTTTTCAAATTTTGGGCCTGTGAAATGGGAGGTCCGGCCGACAAAAAATGGCCAAACCGACAACTATCTCTAACTTTATCTTCCCTTGGGAGAAATCAATCAATGATGTACCTCTACTTATGCATGACCTCTTCTAACATTACACTATTAGGTTTTCCTACAAATCGCGTCGTTCAATTTCCAGAGCTGGTTTTTCAACCAGAACTCGACGATCGAGCACCATTACCTGTGATCTAGGTCGAAATTTTTTTATGGCCGAGACGTTGAAGAACTGGTTGAATTTGAAGAACAAGTCATGACTAAGTTAGGAATGTACGACTGGTTGATTTTCTCATTTTCTAAGGGATAATTTTTTTCAAAGAAATGTGGTCACTTTCGCGGTAAAGCACCTTATACCGAAACATCTAAAATTCGAACTAATTCCCAACAAACAGAGAAACAAAACAAATGAGCGAGTAGAGCAGAAGAAGTGCTCGTAAAAGGAACACCACTCGATATGAAACAATGACGTTTACGAGGAACAATTTTAATTTGAAAATTGCTATGGCTTATCCGTCAGCCAATTCGAAAAGAAAAACGGCAAAGCTTTTTCGGCAACCTAAGAGTGGAATGTTTAGAAGAGGTCATGGGTAAGTATAGGGTATATCACTGGTTGATTTCTCCCCAGGGAAAATAAAGTTACAGCCAGTTGTCGGTTTGGTCAATTTTTGCCGGCGAGACCTCCCATTTTGCTGGCCTGAAATTCGAAAACTCTGAAATAGCGGTGGAAGCGGAACACAGCATTTTGTAGAGCAGACAATTCTCTTTCGAATGATATATAAAACGATGTAAAAGTTTCATGATTTAGATGAAAATTTTTTGGTTGAAAAAAAACGACACTCACTTATGAGACAACCTAATATTAACTGTTATGCCAAATTTGAAGGTGTGGGGTAGTTGTGCGCGTACAAGGGCGTGTCGTCAACGTGTTAAGAAGCTGGTCCAAAACCGTGGCTCACGGTAAATGCAACAGTGCAAGGCAAACGAATACGGAAACTCGGGAGCTCAACAATTTTCTACGTGCTAATAAAACGAAAACACCACCTCGTACTCAATTCATTAGCAAGTCCAAGTTCTAGTCACACTAAGTTTGTTGGGTCGTACCCATTCTTTGATTTCAGGTTTCTACAAGTATTGATCGGCAAGAGAGCCATAGAATCATTCATAGCGATTGAGGCAATGTTATTACAGCAGTCATTAGGAATAGACATTGATAGCAAAAGAGACAGCGATCTTACAAGATATGACAGGGAGCGATAGCAGGTGGCGACAGAGATAAGAAGTGCAGAGGCATGGGTTGAGAACAGCGAATATGACTAATTGTAAGAAGTGATGATGGAATTGTGATGTAAAACTGAGCATATGTGATACATGTATATCTGATTGAGGATAATGAAGACTTTATGGGAAACTGAATGGAAATGGGGGTAATGAATGTTGCGCCAGCTGCGAAGAAGCCCAGGAGAAATCCGTGACCAAACGATGCGGAATTTGAGCGATCCTCATATGATCGTCATTAAGTATAAAAATCGCGACTCAATGAGTGCTGTATGGGTGAGGTATGCGCCATTTGATAAAGGTGAGGCTTTTACCAATTGAAAATGCGTTATTATAGCGGTATGCACAAGCCCGGCCATGTGAGCAGAGCGATTTGAAGCGAAATTTGGGGTGTGACTGCGTTACAGCTAGTGCACAATCATCCGCAAGAAAGGTACTGCTCGCCACTGTGGTCTACATATCTACCGCATCAAAGTAACGCTCACACTTCTTCGATACAACTACTATTATTGTACCGACTGCTTCTGAAGAACAACATGAAAGCCACAGAAGACGAAAAAAGTGTCAATAAAATAAGTGATGTGCGAAAAGATCAAAATTTCTAATAAAGTGCTCGTACCACAAACTGATGCTTTCATGAAATACTGTCTTATAGGCGATGGTTTCATGACAGGTTGAACCGCTCCGTGAAATGAGCAGCCAACAGAAGTAATCAGAAAATGGCGAAGACTGGAAAGACGAATCAGATAAGATAAGAAGAAGATAAGAAGCTTCCACGACCACTTTTGTTCCATAAAAATGGATGACTAATATCAAAGAGGGAAACAGTATTCAGATCCGTCAGAGCGTAGTCAGAGCGAGGAAATTCGTTGGATATGGCCCGCACTCCATGATAGAATACAGCGACATATTAGCAATGATGCAGCGGATGATAGTGGGAGTAGCCAGTGGTGAAGTAGAAGAGATCAAAATACAAGGATGGCGAAAATGGGCCATTAAAAATGTTTCGTTTAGATTAACAGTGTTAGCTTCAAATGAAGAACGTCTCAAGATATCACAACTAGTTGTGAGAAAGGTACCCCATGTACAACTGTAGATTCTCGTTTAGGGTATCAAAGTGGGGATAAGCCTCACCCCACCGAAAGCACTGAGGTCCATCGCTGAGACATTTATAGCTGGAGATTGGATTCCTGAATATACGACAACGCGTAAATCAAAAAACTGAAGGCCACTAAAAGCTTTGCTGCACTTCAGTTGCATAAAATACGCAAAAAGGGTTTTGTTCTCTCGAAGAAGAACAATTTCAACAGCAACTTAGCTCAAGACCACCCAGCAACCCGCCTCTTACACTAAATACTGTGGTTAAACTGAGGCGTCTGTACTATTCGCTTTCCTCTGCTCGAGAAACCAGTTCTACTCGTAAATGTGAATAATTAATGATCAGTTCTATATACCATGAACGATGAATTATCACATAATTCTGAATCAAAGTAACTAAAAATGCGTGCGTGCTGCAAAAATCCTTCCGCATCTCGATACGTCAGCACAAACACTGAACTGACCTCTCCGTTGTACGCCATCCAAGACCCCAATTCCACTATTGTCGTTTTCCATGAGCGCGATGGCAAATACGATACCAGTAATTCTTCCTCCACAGAGCCTTTCAGAAAATTAATCTGGAAGGAAGACCAACGACTCAATATGTATTTGAAAATGAAGTCTGCGCAATCGAATACTGCTGTGGCGTTCCACCCTTGCACAAACAAAAAACACTATGACCACATTCTTTATCCATGACAATTAGTTATAGACGAGTTGCAGAAATGAGATCTGCGTCGAAATTACTCCGAATAATGGTGCTGTACACTGATTTGAAATCAGACATGTCATGCAATTAGTAAGAAATGGCATAAAATTAGCTCTAATATATAAAACTTAACTAGTAGTACTTTTGAAGATGATTGGTTAAATACGAGATTTCACATAATTATGCTTATATACATCAATATACATCCAACAAAGTATTAACGAATAGTCAATGAGCTGAACATCTTGCTGCGTTGCGCCAACTGATGAGTACTTTTGTCGACCTGAAACAAAATTTCACAATAAATTTGTGCGACAACTAATGTGAATTTAATAGATCCACCTGGGTTTCGTTCGCAAAACACAACCTAACCCTCGCAAACCATCCCAAGCGCATCAATCATACAATGAAAAGTTGTGCATAGATGCAGTTCATGGCTACATACTCGAATGTGTCTTCTACGTATAAACACAACGTTCGAATCCCAACAAATTTGAGCGGAAACCAAAAAATAGTGTTATTCGAGAGGTTCTTAGAAAAAAGATCGTACTTTGAAAGGATGCCATGTTCGAAGAGCTTCATCGCCACCTGCAGTCATCACAAACTGGCCACATGGTGACTGAACTATTGAGATAGCACGTTCCGGTGCATGCCCTGAAATAGATTGGGATAGCGAAATAAGTGAACTGACAATGAGACCTCACTGGTGAATACCTTTAAAAACACCTTCAAACTTGATTAAACTCTAAATGCAAAAAACAGCCTACCGGACAACTTCGCGATCTCCACGTAGTTTGGATGTTTCCATATGACCAGTTTGCCACAAGCGTGAGCTGACATCATCTCTTTATAATCGCTATTGAAGACAATGCCATTCACCTGAGCAATGCACATGAGGATGAAAAGCGACCAAAAAGGGTAAGAATTGGGGGCAACTGCACCGATTACGCATAGATTTAGGTCTAGAAATATACTCATCAGAGCCCGTACGCTTATTCAAATTGTCACGAATTCTACTGACTTCTATATTGGTTGCTATACGAACACAAGTTCGGATCGCAGCAACCTCCGCAGTATTCCAAAAAAGTGATAATCAACTTACCAGCGGACCCGGTGTCTATGCTTTTCAGTAATTGTCCGCTATTGATATTCCATAGTTTTATGGTTTTACACTGCATGCCTCCACCTGTGGCTAGAAGACTTGACTTATAGTTGCAGAACTGAACCGCACGAACAGATCCTACATGTTCGTCAAGAACGAAGAGGCTCTCCTGTAACATTCATTCGAGATGAAACCACATGATAAGACAATGTTTTTTTAGGAGTCAAAAAAGTGTAAGGTACCGAAGTGCTACTTCCAAGGTGACTGTCCTCCCACACTCGAACGGTATTGTCTCCGCTACCAGAAGCTAACTTCGTTTGATTATGAGACCAATGCAGGCCAACGACCTCTCGATCGTGTCCTTCCCATATTCTATAACAACATGATTAATAATAAATAATAAAAAAAGAACAAAAAAAAGAATAATGAAGGGATTGTTTATAAAAACATCGTTTCAAATTTTGCAAATATTAGAAGATTAAAATTTCGTAACATGACATATCGAAACACAATAGGCGCATATGAATGACACATGCACCGATCACTATTACAGCCTTGTTACACCAAACCTCATTCACCGATTCACCCATTCTCCCAAAATGTTAAACTGAGCGAGGAAGAACAGGAAACAATTATAGCTCGGAGGAGGTTAGCCTAATGAGAATTCGATGGCTCCACATTATCCCATTTCCATTAGTATTTCACAGGTGTTGTATACACTATTAGGCGACTTGCCCTGCTGGAGGGGCTGCTCCTCAGTAAACTTCCACCCTTTCCTCCTTCCCCTACTCGAAATTCTACCTTTTTTGGTTCCTATGCTTAATCACAAACTTTAACCAGTACATAGCTCTTTTTGCTGTTCCTGTCTTCTTGGAAAAAAATCAGAAAACATAAATCATATCAAGAAAGTCCCAGATATTAGTGAAAATAAAATCTTCCAGGCTCTGTCGAACGTAAATAACCAAAACGACGTCGAAGTAAAATTTTTTGTAAGCACCAGGAAGGGTTCGTAATGAATTCAACAGGATCAAGAGAAAGGTGACCTGGACAATTCTTAAATGAATGCTACGCAAGCTATATTGCGCAACATGAAATGTTGCCACCCCATAGAAGCCGGTTAACTGCTCAAAGCTACTAAACTACCATTCGAGTAGTAGTACATGTCAAGTAATATCCCTTGATGAAATATTGAAGTTAATAAGAGCCTGAAAACATACCCCGTAATATGATTAGGGATGCGAACATCATGATGAATTATTTGCCCAGATTGGTATCCAGCTGAAATGACTGCGCCTCGCCATCCCAGCACACCTTAATATTAAGAAATTTCAGTCCATAACATCAAATCTGCACGTTCGTCATCAAATACCGTTCCGAGACTGTCGCGGAGGTTTCATTGTTCGCAGTTCCAGCTTCCCGTTCGGTGGAGGTACACGATGCGGATCATATAACTGAATACAAAATCTATTATGGAGAAAATATAATGGCTGCTTTTAATAAACATACCTTCAATGAACCATCCTTGAACCCCACAGCAAGAAACTTCCCGTCTAGTGACCACTTTACGGAGGTAATCAGGTTCATTTCGTTAGTTTCGTCAAGCTCAAACAAAACCTGAAAAAAAAGTGCAATTTTGCAGAAGCTCAACATCCATGTAACAAGCAAGAGAACGACAAAAATATAGCCCAGCACTAATAACTCGCCAGAATGGAATCAAAGCGACCTATGCTTATATAAACTTACCTGAATTTCTCCACTATCAGCGTTCCACAAGTATAACGTGCAGGATAATGCCACAGCAACGACGCCACAACTGCTCCAGTCAATAATGTTCATGTAATAGTCATCTAAAGAAAAAGGAAAAGGCCTTATTTCGAATCTAAAGCAACTCTAATATTCCTTAGTTATAAGAGCATGGATACAAACGAAGAACACAAGTGGAGCACCTAAAAAACTAGGGAATACCTTTCAATTCTGGTGCATCAAGAACACGCTCTGGCTGCTGAGGGATGTGTCTCGTCGATTTCTTGATTACGCGAAGTCGGCTGAACGCACGTCGAATAAAGCACCTAAAATTGTTAGATGAGGACACCGTTTACGAAATCTCTTCACACTAGAGCATTTGTCCGAAAAGCCAAGGACATTTTCAAGAATTTCGCAAGCGTATACTACCATTAATCGCCGCAAACACTCATGAAACAACCTTTGCCTGGCATGAGTGTGTGCCCTGACGGCGGTGTAAAGGGTCCCATATTCTCTTGCTAACACAAAATGAGATCGTCTTCACCAGCATGCCGTTAAGATTACCAGCAATTTAACGTAACACACAAAATGACATGACTGAATGTTTAAACACAAATGCATGCTTAGAGCGCATTCATATCGGTTGGATGCGACGGACATTGAAGCGCTTACGACTTAGAGAGACAAAACGCTTTTATGATAAGATACAAAACAGTTTGAAGCGACAAAACTGCTCCACAAGCCAGAACTCAGCCCAATGCGTTTATCTTGTGTGATTCAACGTGCTTAGAACATGCGAAAGATGAAAAGATATTAGATGATTGATTATTCTAAATTAATGGCTCATAGTTAGATAAATAAGAAGAACTAGCATAGTGATGAAGCACTCGATTGTGAATTTATCTAATCTATCAATAATGAGAAATCTTACTTTTTACCAATAATGAAAAGAGGTAAGCCATTGATAGAAGGGTTTATGAGATGATGGAGTAGGAGAAGGATGGATCAATAAAAACTTTTGCATGTAGTTTAGTTCGACATCGATTCTCAACCCAGATTTCGCTCATTGATATAATACTTGCTACTTGGCTATTGATCAAAACCATGTGACAACACCCACCACCTCCAAACAAATTGCAGACGTTTAGCGCTGTTTGTCAATAAAAAATCTTGCAATGGAGCGTGTTAATGACCGCGACATAAGCTAAAAATAGCATGAACTTCCCGGTTCAACGGTATGATATAGAGGCAGAAAAGCTTGTACTTGTTACTGCTAAAATATTGTAGGGCCATCAGAATCGTATTAGATATTTGGTATCAACCATAGGTGCCATGAATGCCGTGCTATGCCACTTTGAACAAATGCGCTTGCATCATGTGCGTGAATTTAGCGCGCGTCAATCGAACAAGGAGGCGCAATGGAGGAGCGGAAAAGCAAAAAAAGTTAATTGTCACAGCTCTGGGCTACTCCTGCTGCCCACTGCATACAATTCGGTTTCAGTTTATTGTTTCAGAAAACTGCTTCCAACTAAGCAAACCTTACTGCGTATTTGATGATGTCATTTGATAACTGCCTTATTGGCGCTATTCGCAGTGACATTACAGGGAACTACAAAGTCACATCAACCGCAAAGAGGGCAGCTTATCGAAACTGAGAATTAGCAAAGTGACGTTACTTATTCGAGTATCAATCAAAAATTGTAGGCACATTTATTCTCATGTTCACTGCTAATGCTTTGAACAAGGAAATTTTTGTACTGTAGAAAACTTGTGAACGTTTCCAGTTGATTCTTTCCATCCAACGATAAAATGAAAACTCACCTCTCATCATTCTTTTCATCTGTTCCTGTTCGTAGTTCTTTTGAGGACTGGTAGGAGCGGAATTTGATGTGTTGAAAGTGGAATCAGATGGCTGGAAGATTCGCAGTTTGTTGTGTGTAATTAAGCACTACACCAGTAGCCCAAACTTTTCCGCACTCTTCCCATAAGCCACAAGCAAATCATAAGATAGTGTCCCATTTCTGAGGCCAGGTGCATGACACTTTTGTAAAGACTTTGAAGCTATGAGGCAGGACGGACTCTGATACCAACCTAATATGTTCCAGTAGCACATTCTATACTGCTCTAGGGCTCTGCATCTGGTTCAAGGGTAGCGGCACCGAATTGTGGTGAATCTATTTTGGTGACTTACTCGAAGTCATACTCGATCTCCCCCATCAACCAGTTCGCTGCAGGTGGACGGATTTTTTGTTTTTAAAAATAATCGGGAAGCACGTTCGATATTAGGTTCAACACGCACGAATTTACTTATAAAAATGTCATACGATCCTGATTGCTACACAACCGCGTCGCTAAAGGTGAATCAGCTTAAGCAAGAATTGCTCCGTCAAACTAGGGCATGGATCGTGTTAATAATCGCACTTCAAAAACTTCCATGGCTAGAAGCTTCGAATTGTAAGCCATAACGTGACGCCATTTTAAGGTAAATTTTGTTCTGTTTAATTTCAACTAGAGCCGACATTATATGCAATGCATACATTTATGCCCTATATGCAATCGTGTCCGTATAAGTTTTTGAGCATAGCGGACCGTGCTAACTGTACAACCCATTCTACGCTTCTATAGCACTAAGCAGCAGATAGGACGTGCAAGCAAGAACAATTCCATTGTCATCAAGAAGTAAAAAATGGACAAAGATCTCCATCGCGTTTCGCCGACATTTCAAAACAGTGGCATTTTTATCTCTTCTTTATTTACCTGTGAGAGGAATTACCCATGAAGCACACACGGAGTCATAAAGATAAACTTGGGAGTTCCAAGTCTGCTCCCGCTCTTCGCCGAAAAGCAACAATAACGATCGCCCCCAGTTCTAAGTCCAGGGCACAAGCCTCCTCCAACAAATGCTCGTGATGGCGTCACGTCTCTCCGTCGTAGACCTTTTTGATTCTGAATAGTGCTTCCATTTTGAAGGCTCTCTACGAATATATTGCTCGCTTTCTCTATACGAGTTTGTTATAGGAAAGAGCCAGATCACTACATATATTTTTCCTCTCATCTTTAGGTCAGCTTTAGGTACAGGGCGGAAGTGGTGTAGTGACAAGTGGCACGCTTCACCACGCGAGCGGTCCGGGGATCAAATCCTGGGTCGTGAGTCGCCCGGGCCAACCAAGCCTTCCATCCCTCCGGGGTCGGTTAATTGGTACCAGACTTGTCTGGGAGGATAAAAACACTGACTTGTACATCGGCTGGCCCCCGCAAGTCATTGTATAGGCCACATCGCATTCAAAAAGCTGCGAAGCGTGCCGCATCCCAACAAAGGGATTGATCAACGGCAAATGCTCTATCCTTTTTATGCTTTTTATCTTAGGTTCAGCGAACAATACACCCTCACTTAAAAAAGTAAACTTCTCATGTCTTTTGGTATGCGCCATGCATCCTACCTATAGTTAGAAACAGTGACAATTTAATGCGGGATGGCCCATACAATGACTTGCGGAGCTAGCCGGTGTACAATTCAGTGGTCTTATTCCACTAAATAAAACTAAACTATTCCTGCGTTGTCGTTGTATCTCAAAACTGCTACTTGGCCACGAAATAGGAGCGATCCCTAGGACTAACCCTCAGAGGCGCAGCTTCGGACCGGCGCGTGGCCCTCTCCAAATAGTTACCACCTACGCCACTTATTACTGCCGCTTTACCTGCCCACTCAAACAAGAAGAGCAATATCAGAAACAGAGCAAAGGAACTTCTACTTTGAGAGGTAATAAGTATAGGTTAACGCGGGCGCATTCAAATTTTACCTGCCCCAGCTTTTGGTAGGTTCGCAAGTTTCAAACCCACGATCAATACGCATCCACCTCACCTCACCGAACCACCAATTGCCTACAAATGAACGGCGATAGAAAATCCTCCGGAACATCTCCCCTTCCCCACCAAAAAATTGAGTAACACCTCATATTCGATACTTCACTTACCTTTGGTGCACCGCCCTTGGCGAATGATGTCTGGTTGGATGTTGAAGTGTGCGACGAGTACTTGCGACCAGCGCTTGCCGAATTCTTTCGCAGCGTTAAGTCTCTCATCATGCTTGTCGGCGTCTTATTAGACGTATCTCGGAATGGCTGTGACATTGTGGACTGAAAGATAGCCTATAGGAAATTACCTCTTACGACTTTCAGCCATCAGCTGGAAATATTAGATCGATGTTGTTCTGCAGAAGCCCAAAAAGGATAGGCAACAAAAGTCACTAATTTTAGCTTCTATTCGACTAGATAACTATTTCTTATATAACTATGGGATTTGAAATGTTGAGAATCGAACGCAGCTTTTGCTTCCTGGTGTCACCAGAAGATCTGAAAAATGCGCAAGTAGTTTGCTGCATCTGTAACCCCAGCTTACGAGGGCCTTTACGGACGACCTGTTCGGTTCGTTATTCGTAGACCTTATCCAACTGAGTTCCTCATGCGTTACATTACTCAGTACCAAGATCAACACGTGGTTCTGACCCTCTATGTTGTTAGCAATACACTAAGGCTTTTAACGAGTCCACCGCGCCAGCGAACATATCCAGGTGCGTAAGTGGCCTAATAAAAATCGGATAAAATTAATCAACGGTGAAGGGGAAGCTCACGCCAAACTGTTGGAAAAATGTAGTGTAGAGGAGTTAGGAGAATACTCTGAATGATATCCCGCAGAAGGCAATAATCTTAGAAGCCACCAAACTACCTCGATAAATAAAAGCAGTGATGCGCTGAGAGGGTCTCTTGTAGGATAGGACGTTGAAAGGGTCCCTTATAGGATGGGACGCAGCGATCAGGCGCGAATCGTAGAAGTTCTTCTTGCAGTAAGCAGAACCTTCTTCAGTAGCGCTATTGATTAAGCACGATAAAGCATTGGCAAATGCGACACATCCTTTTCGTTTTCTTCTTTTCTTTGAATTCGAAAAATCTTTGATGCGTCTCTCTGAATAGAAATTGATTGAAAATACTTAATGCACTGACACAAGCGCATGAGTGCAAGCACACGCGCCACCTTCCATAAAACACAAAGACGGAAATCTCCACTGAAGAATACTACGATGGGTTTGATAAAGTTGCTGTGCTTCGGCGAACCCGTATGCCATTGCACGATTCGGTGCTATACAAGTAGGGTGGGCACGCCGCATTTTTTGAACAGAAATGTATGTCAGTGGGACTGCTGCTCGCTACTATACTGTCACGAGAATTGGGGAGTTCGTGAGCCAGGGGGAGTGTAGCCAATCTAGGGGGTGGGGGTGAGGGCAGTCACTTGACATGCGTGAAAAGCTGGGTGTGCCCACCCCACTTGTATAGCACCCGTTTTTTTTTTAAATATAATCTAGTCCACAAACAGACATAGTTGAGCGAAAGGATGTATCAGGAAGGGTTTCCCACCGAACAAAAAAAACCAGCGATCATTGGAATTCAATTTCCCGGCAGATTGCTGAAGGCGCGAACTGCGGCGCATTTGAATTCGGCCGAACTGCTTCCTTGGAGCAGTTTTTCAGCGGTCCCTGGTTTCATTCGTTCGAGGTTTGATTTGCGAGTATTTTCTTGAAATATTCCATGCGTCTGTTGAAACTACTTCATGATTCAAGCGTTAGTCTAGTGATAAAACGGTGGAGTTCGTTAACAAGTCCTCTATGCGGTGATGAATCAGTTTTGCGAACTCGCCGCTAAACGTACACCGGAAAAAACTCAGGACGAGTTCTCCGGACGAGATTTTCGCGCTATTACGGTTTGAATTTCAGGTTACTGTATTGTTCGTCGCGGGACCAACGGCTCCAGCCCTCCATTGTCGATCGATGAGGGCTTTTTTTCGTTGACAAAGGATGATTCAACTGTGAGCGATGCTATTTTGCTGCGGATTCCTGCTGTTCTGCTGTATTCGGGTTCTGTTCTACACTGCTGTATTCACTGCTACTGTATTCTTCAGATCTACTCTGCTTAAACCCCATTATCTTCGTCTCTCCCTCAATAAGATTTTCCCCAAGTTCGCCCCTACCTCTGAATTCCTCTGTTTTGCCTACATATTCACTTCTTTATTACTGCGGCTACTACTAATCACTGAGACACTGATCTTCTGCAGCTGCTAACCAACGTGAGTTTATATTTTTTTGTGCAATAACTTCGGTCGCCTTTTTAGATTTGCTCTCCTTTGACACCCTTGACAGATTTTCCGTTTCTCTCCTCACTTCGACATCTATTTTGGTTTTCTCCTTCGTTTACATCAAATTGCCAGTGTAGGATTGAAAATGGGTGGAACGATTATGATTCCAACCCTTTTCATTTTTGCGCTGGCTGAAGAAGGAATCATTTCTAGTCTTTTCGTCGTTCTAGTTTCTCAGAAACATTTTTAACTAGCAATCATCCAGCCCAAATTCCAAAAGCAATCATCCAATCCAGCCCTAATTCAGACCGCATAATTAATTTCTTTCTGCCTTCCTTGGTTGACCTGCAGTAGAATGACGTGCAGTGAAGGTCACACATTCTATCCAACCATTCCTTAAGAATTTTTTTGCTCAAGAGTTCGCTATAAGTGCCATTACTAACCTTGTATTCCTCCGGATTCGGGAAAGAAAGTTTGTGTACTGTATAGTCTTGCATTCTTCCAAGAGCTCCTTCTTCAGAATGTTCTAGCCCACAGTGTTCACTGAGCTTCTCCTGTGTATTGAAATTTTGTTCGCAAAGGCAGCACTGAACCGCCGTGGTGTGGACCTCCTCTTCCGCAGCCTCTTCAACGTCAGCTTGGTCGGGGTGTTTGGACCTGGCGTGTACCCTCAACCCTCTTTTGGTAGTGAAAACACTTCCGCAAACTTCGCAGATTTCCACCTGCTTCCCTTGGGACTCCAATTCAGTCTTTTTCCTCTGCGCTAACATTCCTTTAGCTGTCGTCGGAGAAATATCGTGTATATCTTTCATGTGAGAAACAAGGTTGCGCTTGACTATTCCTTTATGACAGACAGGGCACTCGGAATGTGTGGGATCCATTTCCTCAAATGTGTTAAAGTATTCTCGATTAACCGTAAAAACTAACAACAGTACAAAGCTACACAGAAATGAATTCTTGATTGGTGCAAAATTCAATTGGAAAAATATTTGGAGAAGGAGCGTAGCTATTTCGTAAAAGCTGGCTGTCAGCACTGGTAATTCATGTGGCAAAGGTAAAGCATAGGTCCCACTTGGACTGTTCTACGGTGGGTAGAAAGGTGTGGGTTGCGAAATTGTAAGTGGAACTAATTTTCTATGGCGTATATTTTAACTG